GCCACTTGGACTCGTTTCCCTCACAAAAGAGGGAAGCTGCAAAATGTGTGCGCACATGTGCGTGCGCGCACATACGCACACAACAGGGGGCTTGATTAAAGAGTGGAGTTTAAGGCGAGACATGCAACGGCCCTGCCCTCCCATCCAGCTCTGGTATGGACGGCTCTGCCGTCCTGGCTTCTCCTTCCTTCAGAAAAGACTGCTCTCCCCCCGCCCCGCGTGCTCTCTCTCTGGGACTTTCTTCTTTCTGCCTTGTGGCGCGAAGGTTCCAAGGGAGCGGAGGAGGACGCCGACGGGGAGAAAGAGCTGCTGCGGTGAATCTTCCGAGGCGGCAGCAGACGGCCACTCGGGCTCGCCTATCTCAGCCTGCTGCGGGAGGCTGGAGTTGAGGCTTCTGGCTCGCTTTGGGAGGGGTGCTCGGAAAAGAGAGGATGAGAAGCAGAAAGTGGGAAAAAAGACTTCTTCCAGCTCTCTGGGGTTCTTTCGCTGGGAGGGCGAGGAAGCAGCAGTTCTGCTCCGTGGGAGGTGGGAGCAGACAGCCTCTCCTTCAAACTTTGCCAAGTGACTCCAGGAGCAAAGCGAGCTCCGAGTCCCCAGAATCTCAACTTTGCGAAAGAGGGAGGCGGTGGTGGGATTAAAATAAAACGGGGGAGGGGGGAGGTTGAGGAAACCCAGAAGAAGCCTAAATTAGAGGGCAAGCAAGAAAGGCAAGATCAGGGAGAGGAAGAAAGCTTTTGGGGCTTGTGCACGGACATAGCTGACTCCTCCTCATCTCCTGCCCTTGCTGCCTCTCCTGTGGAGACGCTTTTGCATCTCTTTATGTCTCTCTCTGCCACTCAAAGCCATCCTGCAGCTCGATCCTTGAAGCGATTTCAATCGGCCCCTTCATTGCCAAGAGTCCCCATGAAAGTCAATGGAGGTCCGCGGCGACTCGAAAAGCCAGTCGCGGCACCTCCATGTCTTGATTTTACCGGTTCAGCGGCCCGGGGACGGCCAGAAACCAATGCCCCCGCTGCCCGCCGCCCCCAACGGGCCTGCCACCCGGCCCGGGAAGATGCGAGGCCGGCTCAGTGGCCCGGGGACGGCCAGGAACCAATGCCCCTGCCCCTTGCTGCCTGGCCCGGGGAGACACGAGGCCGGCTCAGCGGCCCGGGGACGGACAGGAATCGATGTGCCCGCCGCTCCCACCGGGCCTGCCGCCCGGCCCAGGGAGACACGAGGCCGGCTCAGCGGCCCGCCGCCTAGCCCGGGGAGACGCGAGGCCGGCTCAGTGGCCCAGGGACAGGCAGGAACCGATGCCCCCGCCGTCTGCCGCCTGGCACGGGGAGATGCGAGGCCGGCTCAGCGGCCCGGGGACGGGCAGGAACCGATGCCCCTGCCCCCTGCTGCCCGTCCCGGGGAGATGCAAGGCCGGCTTGGCTGCCCCTCCGCCTGGTGCAGGTAAGCCCCCTCCCTTCCCCCCCTACTCACCCTCCGGCTCTGCTTGGCCAACCAGGGCCGCGGCTTGCGGGAGGGCTGGCCCGCTCAACAGAGGCTCTGCTGGGCAGCTCCCAGCATGGAGGGCTTCCCCGCGCGGCTCTCCGGCCACATGCACCTCGGACCGGGCCAGCCCTGGAAAGGCCCTTTCTGGCCACCCTTTTCCCAGGGGGAAGGGCACCCGGCTGCAAGGCCAATCAGGAGCTCTGCGAGGGGGCAAGTCTGCATGAGAGAGAGAGAGAGAGAGAGAGAGAGAGAGAGAGAGAGAGAGAGAGAGAGAGAGAGAGAGAGAGAGAGAGAGAGAGAGAAGGGAAGTGCAAGTGCCTCTCTGTCTCTCTCTCTCTCTGAAAATGGCAGAGAAGGCTCCGGAGCCGCAGGAAGTGGCTCAAAGAGCCGCATGCGGCTCTGGAGCCGCAGGTTGCCGGCCCGTGCCCTAAAGCGAAAAAATTCTGGCTTAAGATTCATACATGGTTGGAAAAGATGACTAAAATACAGATAGAATCTAAACCAGAATTGTTTCTGTTAGGAATACTAGGAGCCAAGTATGAGAGGGAGAATGAGTATTTAATATTGCATATATTGACAGCAGCGAGAATAGCATTTGCCCAATATTGGAAAAATGAAAATTTACCATCTGAAAAGATCATAATTAAGAAAATTTTAGAATGTGCAGAAATGGACAGACTAACTTTAGAGATTAAAGAGAAAGAAGATTCAGTTTACTTTAAAACATGGGATAATTTTTACCAATGGTTAGCAAAACGAACTAATGAGAAATGAATGTGATATCTTATCGTGAATATATACTAGTAAGATGAAGGATATGTATTGATTAACTGACACTGTTTATGATTATTGTTTCTCATATTCACTATAGCTATTTACTATTATATTAATTAGTGTTATTGAACATATGTACCCGGACAATAGTCTGTTTGCTAAAGCTTGAAAATGTTAATGGGGGTAACGCCATTGTTGTTCCCATCCCTGTCCCAATCCCAACCCTGATCCCCACCCCGAACCCCTACTCCCATACTGACCCCATCCCCTCCCTAACCTTATAAAACTCAATAAAACTTTATTTTAAAAAAGCTGTGTGGTGTGTGCCGCCATGAAGAGGATTCCGGGAAAGCCCCCTGGACTATTACAATCGGTTGCGGATCCTTCCTAGCCATGGGAAGAAATTGCTATGGATTTTATAGTTGAGTTACCTGAGAGTAGAGGAAATACGGTGATTTGGACTGTGATTGATCTTTTTTCGAAGCAGGCTCATTTCATTGCTGCAAAGGACTCCCGTTGACCCAGAAACTAGCTAAGATGTTTCTTAAGCACATTTACAGGCTGCACGGCGTGCCAAGGCAAATAATCTCTGACAAAGGAGTGCAATTTACGGCCAAATTCTGGAGGGGTTTTCTCAAACTAATTGGCTCATCGCAGGGACTGTCATCGGCTTTTCACCTGTCTATGAATGGGGCGGCTGAAAAAGCGAACTCAGTGGTGGAGCAGTACCTCAGGTGCTATGAGCTATGTGGATTATCAGCAAACAAACTGGACCCACCTCCTCCCTTTCACAGAGGTGGCTTATAATAACACTGTTCATAGCAGCACTGGTTTTACGCCTTTTAAGATTGCTACGGGAAAAGAATTCAACCCAATTCAACCTGAATATCCTCAGGGATCCTCTGCTTCCCAAACTCTTGACCAGTGGGTGAAAGGGTGGGGAGAGGTTTGGAAGAAAACAAAACTCGCTCTGAAAAAGGCTTCCAGGGCATATAAAAAACAAGCGGATAAAAAGAGGGCTCCCCAAAGGTAGTTCCAGGTTGGGGAAAAAGTTTACTTATCCACAAAATATTTACAACTCAAGTTGCCTAGTAAGAAATTGGGATCGAAATACCTTGGTCCCTTTCCCATCGTAAGGATCATAAATCCAGTTACGGTGAAGTTAAAGCTTCCAAGACTCTTAGGGAAAGTCCACCCTGTGTTCCATTGTAGCCTATTGAAACCTTTTCGAGGTTCTACTCTACGAGCTCCCCCTAAGAAGGCACCTGGCCCGCTGGTGGTAGCCAGACAGACACATTATGACGTGAAACGTATTCTTGATTCTAGACTTTACAAGGGAAAGTTGCAGTATTTAGTACAGTGGAAAGAATATCCATTATCCGAGGCCACTTGGGTAAAATCTAGTGATGTAAAGGCCGACAGGCTCATTCGTAAATTCTATGATAAACACCCTAATAAACCGAGAGGCAACCCAAGCTATGGTTTTGTTTGAATTGCAGGATTTATCTTTTTTGTAAAGGGGGGCCGGATGTCAACACTGTAACAATGGATGTTCCTGCTCTGACAACTAATGGAAATTGAAGCCATTTTTCCTTTGCTTTTAACATGCTTTTTCTTGTTTAGAAATCAGGTGTGGAAGGGGGGATGGGGTGAATGCTTAAGCTCAGCTAGCCATAATAATAATGCACCTCCATGGGAACTCAAGGACACAAACATTTTGCCAGGCTGAGGAGCTGGGGAGAGAGCCCGCGCTCCGGGCTAATTGGAGAATGTGATTTATGACTGCTTTGTGGGGGTGGGACTTGCAACTTGTTACTTTGTATCTGGGGGAAGGTAATCTAGTTTTGGGTTCAACTATGTAGTGCTGGTACTTTGTTTCCTGAATAAAATGTTCTCTAAGGAAGAATTCTTGTCTTAAAGTTTTTTACTGGATTTCATCTATCGAAACCATGACATGTGGATTTAAAGGTCACCAAAAATATTAGAATTTCAGAGATGCAACCTAGGAAGCGTGATTCTATTACAGAATCCCTGTCAGTTCCCTGACATCTTCAGAACTGGTTTCTCTCTCAAAACTCCAGCACTAGCAACAAAGAGAAAATGTTGTTGATCCAGTGGAACTAATATCCAATCTGTTTTGAAATCTGAAGGAAACAAATTTCTCAATGATCTCAACATGAGAAAATATTCAGGGGCACCTAAATCAATCAAACAAACAAATAAACAGTTGTTGTATGCATGCTCTTTAAGGAGAAAATTCTGCAAGAATTTCTTTCTCACTTCTGTAGTTTTGTTTCTCAAGATGTGGAAGTTGTTTGACTTCCTCAACATTACTAGTAAGGAAACCTGAACAGCTAGGCATTTTACTTTGATTTTTGTACTTCCTTTTTAGTTAATGACTTTGTGCCTATGATTTATTATTGATCATTTGACTATTGTATTTAAAAATGTATATTTGATAAATCTGTCTGCTCTATATTTTCTAGATTTTTTTTTAAAGTAATTCAGCATGATTGAAATAGATAACATGTTGGGCATAAATGTGATCCATAAAATTTCTAAATTACCTTTTGCTTCAAGAGTATACATGTTTTTTTCTTATTTGCACCAATGCATATGAAACACTGTTTTGATTTGATCTGATTAAATTATATTAAAATATTATACGTATTGTATGTAACAGAACAGTAGCCATATTTTAATACAATAGTAATGACAACTTTTTCTCTGAAAACATAGTATACCTCGCCAATGATGTCAGTTTGAGAACAAGCATCACAATATAGTTGAGATAGATTGGAGTCATTGAATGAACCAGAATTGTGCTGAAGATCATGAAAAGATTCTGTAATGCAACAACTATTTCTGAATCCATCCGTCAGCTTGGCCAGACTCTTGGAAAAAAAAAAGAAACATTAAAAACACAATTATATGAAACTTTTTCATGGTTTAATAGTTTTTTTTAAAATAGCAAAATAGCAAAAAAAGTTCACAAAACTTTCCTTAGTTATGGAAAAAATAGAGAGCACAATCTTTACAAGGAAGAAAGTTTAAAGAAATATTAAATAGAACACAAACATTTTAAAATAGCTCCCAAGTGTAGAAACACAACAATAGCCATGGACAAATCTGAAACCAAACAGTAGAAATAATATGCTAAACCCTCTATGAAGGATGCTTTTATTTCTTAATTTGAGGCAACTACCATCCAATAGGGATAGACAGATAGTAGGCAGCTGTGTTGTACAGATCTCTTAAGCCAGGGATATCAAACCTCCGGGCCCGCAGGCCAGATGCGTCATGGCGAAACCATTATTATTATTATTATTATTATTATTATTATTATTATTATTATTATTATTATTATTATTATTATTATTATTATTATTATTATTATTATTATTATTATTTATTGAACTTATATACCGCCCTATCTCCCTTACGGGACTCAGGGCGGTGAACAGGCGATAATAAAAACCACGATAAATATACGCAAGTTTCTGTTCTAAAATCAAATTAAATAACAGGCCTGCTCTAAAATACCCCATACAAAACCCCCACTAAAACATAATCAAACTACGCCAGGCTGGCCGCACGGAATAGATGGGCCTTCAGGGCTCGGCGAAAAAGGGGCAGGTCCGCAACTGTACGTAGGTCGGGGGGGTAGGTCATTCCAGAGGGCAGGAGCTGCCACAGAGAAGGCTCTCTCCCTGGGGGTCGCCAGCCGGCATTGACTGGCCGACAGCACCCTAAGGAGGCCCTCTCTGTGGGAGCGGACTGGTTGAAGGGAGGTGTTTGGTAGGAGGCGGTCTTGCAAATACCTAGGTCCATTGCCATGGAGCGCTTTAAAGGTTGTTACTAACACCTTGAAGCGCACCCGGAAGGCCACAGGCAGCCAGTGCAGCTCGCGCAGGAGAGGTGTTACATGGGAGTATCTAGAGGCCCCCAGGATCCCCCGCGCGGCCACATTCTGAACTAGCTGGAGCCTCCAGGTGCACTTCAAGGGGAGCCCCATGTAGAGAGCGTTGCAATAGTCCAGGCGGGAAACAACGAGGGCTTGAGTGACCCAATATACATGATAATAGTCATGTCAGGTAAAAAGTAATATAATTAACAGTACAGTAATGGATGATGACTTAAGAGTTATGGTCTACCTATATAGATACATGTATGTGACTCTTTAAAAAGAAAAGTACATAACTTTCAAAGTTAGGTTGTTTTCAGCATTTATCTTACAATTATCATGAGGTCAACATTATCTTCAAAGAAGGATTTATGTGATTAAAAAAAGGTGTCTGTTCCTGCAACACTATAAAATTATAGCTGATCTGTAAACGAAGGCCAAACTCATAATAATTCCTTCATTTCATTCCAGTTCTAACAGATATTGGTAAATTCAAGATGAGTTAAAGAAGAAATTGGCCTGCAAAATATCATTGCTTTTGCTGTAGTAGAGATTCCTACACTGGTCTAAGAGTTGTATTTGGTTAGCTATTTTAGATATGAAGTGATAATTGACTTTACACGTATAGCCAAGACAAAGTCAGTTAAAAACATTATTAAGAATTACAAAAAATGTTTATATTTCTATCTATCTAATTTTTATAGCTACCCATCTCAAAGGCAAGTGACTCTGGGTGTCAATACAACAAAATATGAAGTAAAGTACATATTTTCATGCTTCAAAAATATGCCAACCACTAAATAACAAGGTATAGTAATTCATTTTTTTTCTATTACTGGTTAAGAAAAAGGACATCCCTAAGAATTATAAGAGTTAGCAGACATTATAAAACCATAAACATTATTATTTACTTCTTACTTGCATTAAATCTTGCCTTTCTCTTTCACCCAAACATATGGCTTTCCTGATGCTTCGAAGTTCATTCATTATTGCTTGGGCTTCATCCAATTTATAATTCATATGAGAATTAGACATCTTCCGATCAATCCTAATACACAAACATACACTGGAAAGTTTACTCACTTTGGGTAATACAAATCTGAATAAACCTTGAAGACTGATATTAAGATTTTTTCCCCTTTTTTTTCAACTGGATGGTCACAAGTAATGGTGGAGGTGAAGAGTAGGAAAACCTTTTTCCGTCTTGCCATTTATATTAAATTATGTGAAGTACTGTCCTTCCAACCCTTCTATCAATAGATACAGATAGAGAGGGAAAGAAGAAGTGAAAAAATAAAAGGATCTACTGTATACAATGTACAGATGTCATGAGAAAGGAGACACTGTTCTATACAAATACTACTTCAGTAGCACCAGGAGGGTTATTTCTTAAGTAAAAACTAGTTTTTTTAAAAAAACCTACTCACACGACTAAAACTGAAAATAAAATAAGATATAAAATTATTTTATATCATTATTTTATCATCTTTTTGTTGCCAACATTATAAAACATTAACATGAACAACAGGCCTGTCCTTTTGTATTTCAACTTACTCTTGTAGTGTTTCTACTCCTTTTTCTTTGTACTGTAGTTCTTGCTTCATCTGTGTTAATTCTCTCTTTAATCTAGAAAGCTTGAGATAAAACCATGAAGAAACAATTGTGCCGATAACCAAACAAATTATTGCAATTGATAGTTCAGCTGATGATCACAGTTTAGTTTCTTAATATAGGGTTGTTGAGTCTGAGATTACAGTATGAGCTTTCTGTGCTTAACTAAATTAGCTAATTAGACAGAAAAATCTAATAGCATTATATTTCTTCCAATGTACAATAAAATTTGCAATTTGGTTTCAAACTGTGTATGAGCACTACTATGAAAACCAATATTACATTGTGATATCCAATGTTATTTTTGCCATATTAATAAAAAATACATTCTTTGTCATAGACCAGCTTTAGATAATCTACAACTATAAAATTTACAACCAGTATTTACAGCACGTTAGAGTATAAAATATAAAAATAATTAAAATATTAGGATTAGTATTATGTCATACTTCCCTAAATTAATCCCTGCATCCTAAATTGCAATTGCTTTTTAAAATGTTACCATAAATAAAAAGATCACGCAATATAATGGCTTAATTACTACCAGAATATATTATGTACTTTCTGAAAAAAAAGTACTTTAAATATTAATGCATATATTATACCATTTTTTCCTAACAAGCAATCATTCTATTGTGGTAAAATATGAATTTAAATAATTACATTTAATATACAGTATTTTTAAAAATGTTACTCACTCTATCACGTCGACTAGCTATTTCTGCTTTAATCTGAGATGGGTTGTATTTAGTGTTGGTTGAAAATCCCGAATATGCTGAAAATCAGAAAAAATAAGTATTTAAAATAAACTCTAGAAAATGTTCCTAACAAGCACAAGAAGGGAAGGGAATTTCACTCCGTTTCACAGAAAATTCTTATTTTGCTACTAATAAAGTGACAGCATGTAATCTATCTGTTCATCTAAAAATATGTTTTCACCTAAAAGCTAAGTCCACTGTTTATCAAGAGACACAATGTTAGTATTTATTTTACAATCAAGAATTAGAATTTAGCATTTTATAACATAAACGGTAAGGAAAGGGAAATAAACTTATTACTCCAAGTTAGTGAAGAGTAGTATTTGTAATAATGTCCAATTACTTCAATTCAAAATACTGTACTGTATAGAACAGGGCTTTTCAACCTTTTCACCTATTGTACCACTTTTAGGATATGGCAATATCTAAGTACCACCAGTCGCCTAGCAAGGTGTCAAAAACTTGATGACCCCCCCAAAAAGGAAAAAAGTGATGAAGTACAGGTAGTCCTCACAACAGTTTGCTTAGTGACTGTTCGAAGTTACAATGGCACTGAAAAAAGTGCCTCCCAAGCCACAACCGAGCAAGACATCTGCCTGCCCGCCCGGCAGCGCTCTTCCTCCTGTCCGAGGTTTTCATTGTTGTGAGCATTTCTGTTGAGGATTGGCAGCAGGGGTGGGGTGGAGGGGTGTTTGGTTTTTATTCCCCCCATCTGCTGGGTGGTTGCAGCAGGTTTTGGTCACTTCACATGACCCTGGGACACTGTGACCATCATAAATATGAATCAGTTGCCAAGCATCTGAATGTAAATCACAAGACCCTGGAGATGCTGCAACATTCCAGCTGATCGGCGCTTCTTGAGCTGGAGCCTGGTGCTGATCCTGGCGCTTCCACTGAACCCTGACAGTCCCGAAGAAGCGCTGATCCTGGCACTTCCGCTGAGCCCTGACAGCCCTGCAGCTCCAGCCGTCTCTCGCTCAGGCTTGTGCGGTACTGCTACCGGTTCAGCTCATCCCCCTCCCCCGCTACCATTTTTCTAGGATGGTCGCGTACCACCTGCCAGGTGTCAATGTACCACAGGTGGTACCCATACCACTGGTTGAAAAGCCTTGAATTATAATACTAAAAGTGAAGCTATTTCCAACTGTTTCCTCTGCCAATTTTGATTTTTTTTCCCTTGCTACTTTCTTCATAAAGGTAGTCCTCTACTTATGACCACAGTTGAGCTCAAAATTTATGTTGCTAAGCAAGATATTTGCAAAATGAGTTTTGCCCACAATTGGGGGAGATCATTCGTGGTTTTGGGGTGGATTTCCATCAGTACGCTGACGATACTCAGCTGTACATTTCCACCCCAGACCACCCCAACGTTGCCCTTGACGTGATGGCCCGTTGCCTGGAGGCCGTACGGGTCTGGATGGGGAGGAACAGACTCAGGCTCAACCCTTCCAAGACCGAGTGGCTGTGGTTGCCAGCGCC